CATGACATTATTTGCATACTAATGGCAACAGCTGGGAGACTTTTCTCTCCCTGTTTGGCAGCATTGCAGTTAAAGGAAAATTAATTATTTTGAATCCATAAAAATATCTTCCTTATCTGAAAAATTTTACTGGGGGGCTTGTGGTTGGTTTTTGTCCATCAGAAATGGAATCTCCACTGTTCTGTTTTGTTTCTAGTGTAAATGATGTCATAAGATGATGATTTAGCTAATGAGGAGGTATTGAAATAATTAGAACGTCTTTTGATAAAAGTAGAAGTAGTAGGATATTAATCAGTCATCTTCAAAGAGTGAATGATGTGTATTTTTGCTCTGCTGTCATTTTGCCATGGTTGTTTCTTTCTAGTAGATGTTGTTATCTTCTAACCATCACAATTAATACAATTGCATTTATACTTAAAATCTGAATGGCTCTACAGCTAAAACCTGCCCTTTTGGTTTAGTATTTGAGAAACATGAAAAGTAGCTTCAATTTTAGAACCTCGCTTATAATCACAAATGGATGTAAAATTATTTTTCTTCTAGGTTAAGTGATGTCATTCTGAATTTCAGTTCATAGCAAATACGCAAATATTTTAGATATGAAATTGTACTCCTTATTCTTATGGACAACAATCTGAAAACTTCCCACTTCCTCTGACAGATTGTTAGGACGTAGCTGCTGGTGCAACTATTTTCTGTCTAAGTGTTACAGGTCAGACTCTGATCTCCATTATTTCACTGTCTTCGAAAGTACTTGAACAAACTTTGGGCACAATTTCATTTAAAGAGGACCATATTTTGTAATTGTGAAAATAGAATACTGAATAATAATAAAGTTAGATAAAAAGTTTCTGATACAACTAGTGGTATTTCATCTTAATTATAGTCTTATTTCTGACAATAGTAATTGTGTATGAAATATTCAAATGAACATATGAATTACCAGTGTATAAATACAGCTATAAACACAGGTATATGATGCAGGACCAGTAGCCTCCCCCAGCCGTTTAAATGCACTCATATTGTTTGAAATAATGATGTCACTGATCTGCGTGTATTAGCTCTTTGTGGTCTTCTATTATGCAGATTCCTCCATTAGAATATATGCCTTAACTTTGTCTGTGCCATGGAAAAAATATTCCAGTTCTGGAAAAGCTTTATTAACACATATTAATGTCATTTTTTTGATAAATTCTAAGCAACAGTTCTTAGATTTTTAAAAAATTTTAAATGTTTCTATTAGAACACTGCTTAGCACTGGGAATAGTGCTACAAACTAGTCTGACAAAGCTGTTAGTCAGAATGTTTGCTTTTCCCTCTCCCTGATTCCAGGTGGTTTTGGTAGAGATTTCTTGTGTAAATCTCAGATAATATATGAAACAGTTTGAGAGAATTTCTGAATTGTCATGACTTTAAATCAAATTCTAATTCTTTTGGAGGCTTTTTATAACACTGACATAGGCTTTTCTATCTGTTCACATTGGGACATGAATGCCATAAATTTAACATTTTCACAATAACAACGGTTAAAAATGACAGAGTAAACTGTAATTTTTTTAGTCTTGCCATGCCTATATGTTGTTAAAATAAATATTTAAAAACTACCTGTATTGTGAAGGGCCATATTCCAAGTGCCTGCTGTCACACGTATAATTAAAGATCCTGAGTTCACAAAATAATGTTTGATCTTGTCCCAGAGGTTCTTACACTTTTTCAGAAAGTTGGTCCTCTTTTTGTATAATTTTACCTTTAAGTGAATAACAAGAGAAGGAGAAGGAAAATCGTTATTAAAAATACACACAGACTTGATCAAAATAACTTTGATGGCTAGAATGACAAGAACAGTCATTCTCTTCCTTTGACAGATATTTTTTTGTCTGAGATTTGAGAGCACCAATATTGATTTAGAAAGCTCTGTTGCTCAATTTTAAATGAAATGTAAAACTTTTCCATTTTCTCACCTATCAACCTCCATAAAAGCGCAGCTGCTCTTGCAGGGGAAAGCGCTATTCTCACTTTGGATATTACAATGCATTTATGATGTGGAGCTTAACTAAACAGCTCCCCTTTTCGTGACTAGGAAAGAAAGACTAACTTTTTTTAGGGTTGGAGTTTTGACTGTAGTAGCTGGATACAAGTCTGGATGATAGGCTGGAATGTGCGATCTGGGATCTGGCCCCCCTTGAGGGCATCCTTTCTAGCAGGCACCCTCTGTTTTTCTCCTCTCTGCTGGAAGAGACAACAGTAGAAGGCTATTCCCTGCTCTCCCTCTCCTGCAAGCAGCTGCACCCCAGAGAAGCAGCAGCAAGCTGCATGTGAAGGTGCAGCAGCCTGGATCGTTGTTGGACCACAGAAAGTTTCCCAGAAACACAAAGGGAGCTCATACTTTCTACCACGATTATCAAAATTACTCTTATACCCTGAAAATGGATTGGGTGGGACAGCAGAACTAACTAAATGGGAAACACAAAGGAAGAAGAGCTGAGGGACAGTCGTGTCTCTCAAACATGTTCAGTTCCTGTCTTTTAGTGAGAACAGGAACAACTCCAGACTTTTAAGGACGTTTAGCAGACGAGAATTAGAATATAACTCATTGCATTACTTTCTAACAGAAAGTGCACAAAGCTTGCAAAGGAGAAGGGAGTCTTGGTTGCTGAAGGTCAGTTCCTGTTTCAAAGGCTGACCTCCTTTGAAAAGGGTCTCTCTGCCTAGTGTTCCCATAGGAAGGGACCCAGGGGCTGGATTCATGCTGGCCTGCGGTCAGGGAAGTACTGAGCTTCCGTTCAAATCACTGTTCCCTGTAAAAAAGGCATTTCGTAATAACCTTAGATATCTGAATAAGAACAGGATGCTTTCTAAAGCAGGGTCTTCATTTGGCTGATATTATGTGTTTGAATATCTCAAAGGCTGTAAACTTCACAAAATCTGGATTCTTCTTTGCTTAATTTTTTTATTTTAATTTGGTGTGGTTTCATTTGGTCTAGTATCCACTGCACAGTGCCTTACTGGGATTATTAGTAAAATACGGTATAAATCGGTCTGGAAGAGAAAATAGTATTTTTTGTCTCAAATTTTTAGGTGCCAGAAAGGGGAAAGCATAGGATGGCACTAATTAGGGAGTAAAATCTATGTTGCTGAGCTTTATTCCTAACCTGTCATATACCAAATTTATTACCTAGTCTCTCAAAGAAAACAATACTCACCAGAACAAAGCCTTTTGAGATTCTTAGGTAAAAGGTTTATATAGCAGGGAAGTATTACAATAATGGCATTTAAATTTAATTATTTCTCAAACAGTGGTTAAAGGAAATGTTCCTAGCTTGGGGAGGGAGCTGACTTTTGTAATCAATAATGTTTATACTTTCTCACTAAGTGAATTCCTTAAACAAAAGAATAAGGAATTGTATCTGGATCTCACAGAAAAGGGTCGCAGGATGCTGGAGGGAACAAGGATGCTGAAAAAACAATCCTGACCAGACATTACTTATGAAAATCACTGAAGTGGAAGCCAGAAACAGGGAACGATTGAGGAGAATGTATTAGATATTTTATCTGCTAACTTGTCTCGGTCAACCAAGCAGAACGTGACTGGCCCATCTCTTCTCTCTCCCCAGGGCCAGGACTTCCATTTTTGTCCCCTCCGCCATTCTGTTCTCCTCCATGATAGTTTTTATATCATTTGCCAGAATTTTCTCTGGCTAGAGGTTCAAACGGGTTTTTTCATGAAAAAAAGAACAAAAACTTCTGTGAATGTTGATGAACACAACATCTCAGCTTTTCAAGTGCCCCGTGGGGGGCTAGGGTGTCCCTGTTCAGAACAGAGCTCAGAAGAAGGCAAGTGCATGCCCTATTATCTCTTTTTAAATTTTACATTGCTGGAAGGATAGCAATGGCATCTTCAGCACTAAGCAAACAGATCAGTTTCAGTGTCTGAGTGTTTTATCTGCCTGATGGTTTTGTCCCTGTTCAACTTTTGGCATACTGGATCTCATCCTTGCTTGGTGAGATCAGAAACACTATTAACTCCTTTTGGTGTTGTTACTAAAAATCGTGAGCTGCTGTTTGAACCTCAACCTCCTTGCTTTTGGTGTTGTGCATGCAAAAAAACTTGTTTGTTAGTATGTTACAGGTATTTTTGCAGCCTTCAAGTAAAGAACAAATAAAACAGAAAAATACCACGCTAGTTGTATCTCATAATGTGTACCTCAACACTTTCCTCTCCTGAAGTGTTACATGAATCCTTCAACATTATACAGAGAATAATACAGTGTGAGAGAAAATGTGTGTTCCCCAAACAGGATTTGGGCATGCAACTCCCACCTTTGAAAGTATTTGAATGTAAAGATTCAAATATGCCCAAAGCACTCACAGCAGTGATAAAACTAGACTTTAAAGAGACAAAATTGCCTCCCTGAAGGTTTTAGTATATAAGCACTACTGTTAGAATAAAAAAGAGGCTAAGGGAACTTAGCATGATTTCTAGTTATTCTTAATTTGGAGGAAATAATTGCATTATATGAGCCTATCCCGATTACAAAATTTTTTAATCTCAATCCAAGGTAAACACGTCTTCAGCACCACATACACCTGAGTTGCCCTATTAAATATTGAAAGCCTTGATCCATATTCAAGTTTTTTCCTTGAGTCTGCCTGCTGTGATGAAAGTGTAATCTCATCTTGTATTAATTTTGTCTTGATACACAGAATATTATTATGCTATAGCTTTTTGAGGCAGGTTTACTCATATATTTTTGAGAATTTTAAAACTGTTCAAGTAATACCTAGAATTTCCAGCTCACATCCAAAAACCATGTTTGCTTGTGAGAGGAAGGTGGTGTTACGCAAACTTTGCCCTGAGCGATTGTCTGTAAGAGCTGTCCAAAGTCAAATATAGAACCAAATTTCTGGTAGTTCCTTAAGAGGCAAATTTTGTCCCCACCCTTTATAGGAAGGGAAGCAGGAGCTGTGAAACCCCTGGGTGCTTGCTTCCCTCAGCATTACTGACATCCAGCTCTTCAGTCACATCTGCCATCCGTGATATGAGTGAGGAACTAGGGTGAGTACCTGGTGAGGCTATTACCTGCCTCCAGAGATCATTCTGCTTCTTGGCAGTGGGGACAACCAGCTGGCAGGGACTAACCTGGGTTCAGGGTCTGCAGGAGAGGGTGTGGGGCCTTGCAGCAGTGGCAGCAGCCCTGGGGAGAACCCAAGCACCCATGCGAGCCTGGTGGGCAACACTCTCATCTCGAGTGGTTATGTGTGAGAGCAGCAACTCCACAACGGCACTTAATTGTGTAGTCATTAATAATCGATTTTAATGCTTGTATCTTAACTGCCATTGAAGATGCAGTGTATTTTTGTCAAAGGAACTGGTTGGTTAAAAAGACATTTTCAATGCCATCTGCATTTGGATCACATTACAATTAAACCATTGTACTTTTATAGTCATAGCGTTGCACCATAGCTAACCGGGTTTAAGTTAGACCAGTAACTTAATAAACTGCTTTCTGAAGAGACAGGAAGATTTAATTTCACTGTTTTATAAAATTAAATTTGTTGTACTACATAAAAGAGTACATGCTTTTTTACTGCTTTATAACACAAAGCTTCTGTGGAGTTCAGTGGAAGTTTTGCTGACAAATTCGGAGCAAGACTCTATTCAAGGAATGTTCACATGACACCACAGTTTTCCACTGTGCATTTCACTCATCCATTTTGTATTTAATTATTAAATAATTTTTAGAACTGTAGTGACTTTAACAATAATGTATGTACAAATATTAAATCCATGTATATGGATGTATAGAGAGCTATATTCATTCACAGTTAAACTTTCTACCATAAAAGCCTGATTCTAAATATAGGCAATTTGTCCCCAAGAGAAAGTAAAATAAAACCCACTGATCCAAGAAAAAAAATCAATAATGCTTCTCTGTCTCCCAAACTGATAATTATAATTTGGTATCTAAAGAATTTAATGGTACTTGGTGTTTTTGCCTCCATACTCATGGACAAATCTCTCAAATTTGGATGTCCAGAATATAAATGAATTTTCAAAGCCTGAAAATGATTTAAGAGCATGGTCTACAATAAGATCAGTGGAGACTGGCATTCTTCTGTCACTTTTGTGGTTCTCACAAGAATATCCTGAATGTATATTTTCACATTACAGTCAATATGCTCCCTGCAATGCTGAGGGGAGCAATTGACTTTTGGAGAGCTACACACAAAGGTATTCTGGCACTATCATGGCAGCTGACTGGACTGAGTACTAATTTAGATGCCCAATTTTAAATCAAGGTTAATTAAATAAAATCCGATAGTTATTTATCCCATATTATATTACAAAGCTGCTTCTAGTTAGCTCATCTTATCTGCATCATTCTAAAAGTCTGACATTTGGACTAAGCCAGGCGTCATTGTATAGAAGCAAGATCTAGCACAGAGCAAATCACCCACCTGTTTTAGACATAATCAGGACATAACTCTCTAATTTAATCCAAAACTTGCATTCTGGAACTGACATGCATTTGTATGAGAGAAACATGGAAAAAAAGTGGTAACAAGGTTATATTTGAAGTCATTCTTTTCTCCTCATATTGACCTCTTACATGGTCCCCAACCTTAAGAATGCCCAACACCTTTGCTGAGTGGGAGAAGACAAATGTGACCAACAGCTGTGGGGAATGACACTTACTTGCTAGAGGTACACATATTCTTTTTCAGGGCAACTGGTTGTGTTAGGTGAATGCAGATATGAGGGTGTACACAATTGTAAGTGGAAATGTATTCAAGAAAATGAACGTACAAATTAGAAGTTTCTAAAGCAGGTCAGGCAAGGTTTCCCTTGAACTGTGTGTTGCCCTGGTGCGTTGTGTTTTAATCCATCAATCTAAATTGCTTCATCTTTATAGAGTGTACTCCCGGTGCACAAGACTGTAAATTTTCCCAAACACTTGTTTTCCCTGCACCAAAAGAGAATGGAACACTGTGAGGATCCTTTTGCACAAAAGCATAGGAGGGTTGTACCACTGGAGTGCTGCAAAGCTACCTTGAAGCAGTCAGTGAGGAGCAAATGGTCAGGGGACCAGGATTTGTTTCACAGTCTATCTGTTACTCTGGGAAGCTTCTTGGGACTGTACCAGTATGTTGCCCATCCAGATGATAGGTAAGCAGGGCTGGTCAACGTTGTGGTGAGATCTGCCTGTACACTGGCCTTGTTCCAACGGGACAGATTCAGCTGAGCTGTGAAAACACAGGGCTGCAGGCTGTTGTCGGCACAAGGCTGGGAACTGAACAAACTCTTTTCTGCAAGCGATAATTATACCACGGTTCAGTAAAGGCGTGCTTGCAAAACCCAGCACAGCGAAGCACAAAATAACCTTGCTGATCAAGCAGCCATACCCATTGGGACCTATTAACTTTTCATTTGGCAGAGACTATATAGGTGTGTTCAAAACCTGTGGGTTTGATGTTTATTTCTGGAAAAAATTATGTACAGGATAGGAGTAGCTGCTTCTCAAGTCTCAGGCTACACATGTTGCAAGGAACTGTTTGTTGTTTTCCTCAGTTTCACATGATGTTTCTCAGCCTCACTTTGTTACAGAGGGTTCAATCCAGCTTTCTGCCTTTGCATGAGTGGGATCCCCTCTTCACCTCCCTGCATGGCTGGATGTGCTGCAAAGGCTTTATGGGATGAAGAGATGTATTGCAGTGCAAAATAATTTTCCCCTTTTTTGGTGTTTAATGGATTGTGGATTTGAAATGAAGAGTAATTCTGCCCAACTAAAGCAAGCCCAACCAAACTCAGATAAAACTTTACTTTGGGATTTGTTAAGTGTCTAAATGGCCACACAGCTTGTATTAGAGACACTTCATCTGCCACAGGGATCCAATCCCTCAGTCATCGCATTAGAATACACCCTCACTGTCCTGAGATAAAGTTCTTCATCATATATCTTGGATCAATTTTAATCAAGTGTGTTATTGATTTTGTCCTACTTCTCTGAACTTCCTTGTTAAGTTAGAGTCTTAAGCAACAGCTGAAAGTTTGATGTGGGGAAGGGGAGATAAAGGATTTCAGCCTATTCTGAAAAAGGAAGTGCTGAAGGTTTTGCAAGATAATCAGGCCCTCAAAAAAAAAAAAAATTCAGCATGTTTTACAGCAAGTTTCAGTTTCAGAGCCAGTTTAAGGGTTGCAGTGAGCCAACTGCAATTCCACTGCAAACCAGCTCAACAACACATCAGGGCTCTCTGTTGTACTGATTTGAAAATGGCCAAAGAAACAGGGGGAAAATTATTTTTTCTGATTCTTATATAAACCGATGATGAAAGTGATCAGTGGAAATCACGATCTACAGCATATCAGTTATGGGTTGGAAATGCAGATGTACCTTTCAGATCACTTTGTGTTCTTTCTCTTCATAACTTCCATTGGCTAAATGTAATCAATATGCATAAGAAGCATGAAATATTCTTCTAGCCTTGATTTTTGCAGTAATGCAATTGCTTTAGCTGCATCATAAAGGGTGTGTAAATGTAAATACAGGCAGTTAGTGGACTATACTGGCAGTAGTCAACATTAAATGTGTTTACCACTGGGAGAAAAAAGAGGAAAAGCAGTAATAACATGAAAATAGTTTGAAAATCAGGGAGTGCACCAACCAAAAAACCAATAGATGAGATGGCAAACTCAAAAAATGACAATTAGGAACAATTTGCAGAATAAAAAAAAGAAAGATGTTGATAAAATTTTAAAACATCTGCATTCCAGATGTTTACTTACAGAAAACTTAAACTGTAAATTGAGTAAATGTTACCCTCTTGTTCTAAAATGATTGTTCTAATAAAAAAATTTCAGTGTTCTTTTTCATCTTAACTTTCCTAAATCTTCAGTCTCTGGGCCTGACAAAAAAAAAGTCTAAAAATAGGAAAGTGAAATGTAATGACTTTGAGCAATAATGGCATGACTCAGACTACTTTTTTTTAGACTCCACTGTCAACTCAAACTAAGAGTGGCCTCTGTTCAGTTCTAATTTCTAACATTAGGCTATCTTTCTTGCAAAACTTTGGTAAAGACAGCTCAAATTTTTGTTGTATAAATTATGATGCCATATAAACTTTAATTAAAGCGATTTAGTTACTCAGCTACAATATCTCAGTATTTAATGAAATGAGTTATTGTAAGTCATGATCTCAGACAGTGTGAGCAGCATACAGAGATAAGGATGGTCATTTACCTCCCACATGTGAGACTGACAGCATCTGTAGCTCATTGGCATTAGTATAGTTAATGATGATAAAACAAAACCTTTCCACTGCATTATGGGAAATTTTCAAGTTTTGTTTCTGGAAAGGTTCCTGCTACTGGTATCTGGGTGCTTAAGACCCTGCTCAAGGAGGAATGTCTTGAGGTGGGTGGTGATAGGTGTGAAGCTGGTACCACAGTGAGAGTAGATGTTTCCTAGTCTATTTAGGGAGCCACAGGCAACTGGGATTGACTTTGCCACACTTGTGTCAAATGTCTCTGGGTTGTTTTCTGCTCCCTCTCAGAGCAGACGATGTTGGGGTTGTTACTCAGGGCACCCATGAGCTGTTCAACAGCTGTAAAGAAAGTTCCTCTTTCTGAAAAGAACCCCTGAGAAAAGGCAGAACCTAAATATTGGCTTTCTCCTCTCCAGAGTAAATCATTCTGGAAGTGCCTTTGCTCCCACGGGTAAAGGGAATGTATGTGTTTCCTTAAGTGCTTACAGACATTTGATCAGGTCTGCAGGTTCTCTTGCTTTGTTGTGAAGTCCTTGAAAAAAGATGTCCAACCAATTATAAACATCAACAAGAATTTTAGTTTATAGTTACTAAAATGATAGCAAGTTGAAACACTCCCACTTTTTAACCAAGCTGAATTAATCAAATTTATCTTTTTCTTTGATGCACATGAGTCCTGTTCATTCTGTAAAATGCTCAAAGGGTTAAATTAGAGATGAAATAGAACACAGTTACATGCAGGAACACCTACCCCTCCTTCATATCATATTTAAATGATAAAAAGCCTTTCTA